GGCCGATGAGACCGAAGGGACTCGAGGTGATGGCGTTAAAATTGTCGGTATGAGCAGCGGAGGGTGTCGGAGCTCCGGCGCAGCATTGCTCTACCCGTGATTGGGTACCGAACCAATATCCGACATTACTGCCGGTCGTGTGCACACTAAGCCCCATTTGAATAAGGAACAGATCAGTTGGAAACTTCCGACTAGTCAATCAACGGATTGATACGGTGGAGTTTGCCGGTATCCAGGAACCAGATTGATGGGGAATCAGAATCGATGACGCCGAGTTCCGAATAGGAACATCACCAGATGATGGAATTATGACAGACGAGGCTGCCGATTAGAGGGAAGAAGATGCCGATGAGATCCGGAGGGGAGATTATATCCGGAACTTCCGTGAACGGAGCAAAACCCATAGATTCACAGATAAGTAAACAAAAAACAGATCCGGAACGGAGAGGGAGTCTCCGGTCGGAAGTTGAAACCCATGGCAAATTCTGAGATGATAGAGATAATGAGATCATAGGTCCGGCTCATGAGAGCGGGACTGTCGTGAGAGTGGAAAAGAATGGATGCGTGGTTATGATGAACTCGGAAATGCCTCCGGAGGCCGACGCGGACGACCGGAGCGCGAGTTTTCGAGGCTGCTGGTCAGTTAGGCACTGATATTGGTCGGAACGGTGGATTTGGCAGATGAGCTTGCGCCGGAATGAGCCGGACGCTTCCTACACTCGGCAACTTGGTGTCCAGAGCCTCCGCAGTACATGCAAAGACCCTGGACCTTCCGTCGTTCGTGTTCCGCAGGGAGAATCCGTCCGTTTTTACCGAGTAGCTTGTTGACAGACTCCGGAAACTTCGGGTGACGAGCCCCGGAGACTCCGGAGGCTTGACCGGAAAGTTCCGGTAGCTTGTTGACAGACTCCGGAAACTTCGGGTGACGAGCCCCGGAGACTCCGGAGGCTTGACCGGAAAGTTCCGGTGCTGCAGACTGCGGTATGGAGGGTGCGAAAGGCGCGTAACTGAGGACGGAAAGTGCCGGTGACAATGTGCCAAAATCAGAACTGCCGGAATCTCCTCCGAGGGATCCGGAATCATCCGGAAGTTGAGTATCCTCGACTTCGCCTTGCTCTTCATCGATTCGCTGCCAGTACCAATAGTCGATACGGCGTGCGATTGCGCGGACACCTGCTAAAGAGCTCGGATAGGTGTACTGATCCATCTCCGAGGTGATCCGGAGAGGGAGAGCGGCGCGGAGAGCGTGACTGAGAGCGGAATCGCTCCAATCGAGGAGAGAAGCGATTTTGTCGAAGTTTGCGAGGAATGGGATGATCCGATCGGAATGTTTCATCCGGAGGCGTCGGAGCTGATCCTCTGCGTCGCCGGTCGGATCCGGAGGACCGAATACGTCGAAAAAACTCCATGATGAACAAGGAAAAATTCCCTTGCCATGGAAGTTCCTGCTGCGGGCTGGAGGTTGCGAATAGGCGTGCAGCGTCACCCCGGAGGAACGACAAGATGAATAAGTTCTTGTCGTCGTCCGTGCGGAAGTCCCGAGGACGCTCCGCAAAATGCAGGTAGCATTGGGCTAGGAAGGGATGGAGTTTCGAGGGATCGGTACCGTAGAAGAATTTCGGATTCCGGAGGTTAGACCGGAGAGAACGAGGAGCTGCGTTGGAGGAGTATAGAATGGTATCCGGAACTCCGTCCGTGAACGCTGATGAGCTCGGAGGACGCGATGAAAGGAGATTGGTGTGATGGGAAAGATTTCCGCCGATGCTGTCATGAGTGCCATGGAAACCGTAGTCCGGCGAACCGGAGTACGACGGAGGATCCACCGGTGGTTGGATATGATGTACCGGTTGGCAATAGTGATGGAAGACAGCGGATGGGACGGGATAAGTCTGTCCGGTCTCAGCGCTTCCAGAGAACACTCCGGAGAATCCCGGAACAGGAACCGGAGGTTCCGGAGGATACGCCAAGGGTTGTGGAAAGCCGGTATAGACCTGATGAAAACCCGAGTTCCATGGAACGATTGGACTGGAAGTACCCGGAACAAGGTAGGGGGTCCATGGATTGGCAGGAAATACGTCGGAGGACGAAGTCAACTCCGAGGCATCACAAGGTGTGGCAGTGTTGTGACCAAGGTGACAGTCCTCAACACCCAGCGGAGAGTCCGCTAGCGATGGAAAGACAAGAGGAGTGGTGCCAGAGGAAGAATAAGACATAATTGCCAGCCAAGACGGTGAGTTTGATTATACTGTTATATACCGTGCCGGAATGGACCTAGGACGAGATGGAAGATGGGCCGGAGGTTCTGGAGGCTCCGGTTAGGACCGGAGGTACCGGAGGGCCCGGAAGAGGTCCGGTGCAGTATAAAGGAAGGATAGCAACACCACAGGGGGTTAAGGGTGAGCTAACGCCTTGACTGACGAGTAACCGGAAGTCGAGGTACCGGAGGTGATAAGGAGGTACGAAGACGACTCAGATCAAGAGGAAGAACCAGGCAACGATTAACGTTAATAATCAAACTAAAGTACATGAAGTAAAGACGTAGTATTTAAATGGAATACCTAATTGTATTCCCAAATAGGAAGGAGAGTGGTTCATGACAATAAGACAAGTCATGAGGTCTGATGATATGTTGTGAGACAATTAAAAGGAAGATAAGAAGACGGGTAAACGGGAAACGCTCAGTAAGCCTTCATTGCGTAAAAACCCGATGCTTCCGGAAGGTCCGGAGGCTCCGGTATATGACCGGAGCTCCGGAACCTACCGGAGCGACCGGAAGGTCGATGGGAGGCTTTGGGATGTTGCATGGATATAACAGATGGCTAAATGACCTCTTGTATCCCCTCTCTCCCCACATTCAGTCCCCGTATTCTCCGTGATTCACACAATATGACAATGCGCACGGAAAGTTATACTGTAAATTCAGATGATACAATTACAACAAATGCATGACCACCATGTTAGTCCCACTCCCAGACGCGACGAGCGGCGCGGCCATTGAATCCAGTGCAGCCACACAAGCTGTCCACCTGCCGAGCGACACGATCACATAAAAGAGGTGCCGCAGGGCATGTCAGATGCGTGTCATATTCTTGCTGTCTGAGGATAGATAATAGCCGGGTGACGCTTGGGGACACGCAGGAACGGGTGCAGGGTTTGAGCCTCATAGACGTTGTCGAGGACAGGGAACGTGACGCCTTGAAGGGAGAGGCCAGCAACGGCGAAGACTTGCGAAGATTTGAAGATGATTTGAGGTGTCATTCAAGTAGTCTTCATGCTTGAGGTTTCAAGTCTTGCGTGAGATAAGAGCTTTGACTGATCTTGGTAGGAGAGGAACTTGTTGAGGAGTTGGGTAGTATTGCACCTTGAGCACTGAAGATGGAAGCGACGGCTGAAGAAGCTCGGACCACTTTGAGGGAGAACTTCAGGCCGGGAATTCTATGTAAGCGAGGTAAACGGTGCGGAGCCGTCGAGGAGTGTGAAGAAAACGAGGGGCGGATGGTATGAGTGAACTGCAAAGGGGGCGGAAAAGCGATGGACGTGGTGGGAAGAGAGAGAGATGTGCGAGTCAACATCCATCAAACAATCAACAGCACATGGACCGGCCACGTGCTGCGTCGCGTCGCAACTTGTTGATGTAGTTCTGAATTATTCATACTATGATATGTACTATCTTCCGTGTTGCTGAGGACAGAATATCGGAAAGAGCAGAAGAGACTCTCAGTATCTGTTTGTTTTACAGGATCCCGGAAATGTTGTATGTTTTAATATTGCAGGTTGCGGGTGCCAACACACGCCAGATAGCCACACTGCTGGGAGTATACCTACATGGTCTGACAATATCGTGTCCGACCTAGGCAATCCGGTAACATCCTGGCGAGTGCTGGCGAGCGCAGATACGGCAAGATGGGGGTCCGTATCAGATCCCATCAAATCATCAGCTTTGTAGGGCTGAATCTGGATCGTGCCTTTTTCCTGATGAAATAAGAGGTGGCCATGTGATCACGTCAAGCTCATCCGTGAAGTTGTCAGCCACCGTCATGTTCCTCTCTACTTCCATGACCTCGCTTCTACCCTCCCTTTTGCTTTCCCCAACTGTATCCCCAGCCAAGCAACATCTTGGTGTCGAGCATGTTGAGTTTGGTGTCTGCTTCTACGCCAACTCTACTACACCCATGAGCTCTCAATCGCCTTGAGAGCCACGGCCCACGTCAGACTCCACCATTCAAGAGATATGATGATGCTTCTGGACACCAGCGAGAGGTTGCGAAGATGCTTCAACTCAATAGTTATCAAGACCTCAGTGGGAGACTGTTCAAATCAAGCCAATGAAGGCTAGTGCTGTTAAAGGTCCAAGATCTAGACACAGATTACTGGATCATTACTGCAAGACTTGAGAGCTCTCTTCAATACCCCGGATGGTGCTGGAATGTTTCCAGACTCGGCAACAACCAAAATTGGGGCTCGAAATCACTTACAATGGTGGTTTCAAGACTAGCTAAGCCTTGGGGCGGCACACACAATGCTTCCGGATCCCAAGAGCGCAAGATCACACACACTTCATTTCGTGTGTCGGCCTTTTCAAGACGTGAAGACACCCCAATAGATTTCAAGACAAGTGACTGGCCCAACACCCGACACCAACTCAGCCCTTAGAACAGCTGGAGACAGCGAAGGAAGCCCCTTCAAGACCGTCATGGAATTCTCGCGAGACCCTGGAGGTACAAGCCGAGCAAAACCAGTGTGGAATCACACAAGTTTCAAGGCAGGACCCTCAGGAGTCGAGAGGCCTGAGAACTGATCAGTAAATTCTGCCTCTGGTGAGAAAGGCCTGGCCTTCTTCAAATATGTGAGACAGGGGCGACCCGCCGGTCAAGACCACACAGGAATGGAAATAGTCTAGGCTTCAAGTTCAACAGGATGCTAGTTTCGACAGTACCATCAGTGGAGTGGTAAATCTCCAGGCCTTCTCTCGTCTATATCTAGTGTTGAATCACAATAACTGCCCCCTGGCCCAGCTGGTTAAGGCGCACGACTGTTATCATCCATCTAACGGCCCATGGTTCAGTTGGTTAAGGATTACGCAATCGTGAGATCGAGAGTTCGAGCCTCTCGGGGGCAGTTTTTGGATCTTTTGTGAGTCTTTTTGTCTCTTTTTCGGGCCCCCCACCCTGAAGATCGAGAGTTCGAGCCTCTCGGGGCAGTTTTTGCGTCTTTTTCAGAGTTCGAGCCTTGCCGGGGCAAATATGTCCGACATAGTCACACCATGTATGTTTTCCAACCCCGAATCTGTGCAGAAAATACTCCTTTTTCTTCGTTCCCATGAGTTTTTTTATTTGCTGCACTGCCTTCTCGACATCCACGTCAAATACAATTTCCTCTTGATTCCAGACGAGATATACAAAAACTACGAAGTGCATAAGGTATCGTGTACATATCAGATTCATCTCCAACTACTAATAGATCCAGACGCTCGGATGGGTGAGTGGGGCGGGGAGTAGGATGAATTTCGGCTATACTGTGGCTGCTGTGGTGGCCCATTCGTCGGCTCGGGGAGGAATAGCGGGATGGTGGGGATGAGCTCAAAGACATGTTGTGCGACAGCGCGGGAAGGCCTGCTTCCGGGCTGCACTGGATCCACACCGTTCATTACAGCGTGTACCTGTGCCTCTTGCACAGTGGGCTCCCCATCGAGGCCCGGCGTCATTATAATACTTGAACCGACACCTCGTCCGTCCCAGAGGCAACGGATATCATTGCCCGGGATGATTTGGGCGAGGCGTCCAGTCTCGACGTATCGAATCTCGATGAAGCGGGGATCGAAGAGAAGAATGTAGGGCGAGTGCAGGGCGACTCGCTCGGCATTTCCTTCCCATTCGATGGTCATTCCACCGCGTCGGGGCTCGCCGTGCTTGTCAACGTAAACTCCAAATTCTATCGACGCGTTAGTTTGTAGATATTGCGCCATCTTTCCTCGACGTACCGTTGTAACACAGGAGGAAGCCGTCTCCATCTGACCGGAACATTCCTATCGGACGGCACGCATCACAACGCTTGGATAATTGAGCTAGTCTTGCATCATCTCTCAGCGGTATGGTAACACTTTTGAAGCTGCGACACGGCTCAAGAAATGTAGTAAGAAGGTTCTGGAGAATGCTCACTCGTTCAGATCCATGATCTCAAAGCCCTTGGTGCACAGGATCACAATTTTTGCCTTGAGGAAGTAGAGGTCAAAGGATTCGGACGGGAGGAAGAAGTCCTGTGGAGAGTCATTAAGATGCACAATGACTCTAAAATTCAACTGACCCTGTAAATCCGGAACCATTCCGATTTGGTGGATCGGAAGCCAAGACGCGAGCCCAAGCCCGCAGGGGCTTTGACCTTTTCATTGATTTTGTCGCCCACAGGCTCTAGTACACGGAAAATGCTGTCCAACTGACGAAAATAAGAACAGAGGATCATAATCGCATACTCGTGTACGTACCCCCTTCTTCTTCATGTAAATGACGAGCGTCCGGTTGTGGAGGGTCCCGACGCTGAAGAAGTGTACGTCTTTGGTTCCATTGAGTTTCTGCGGCACCTGCGACGTGTGGGTGCCGTTTGGCGACGAGGGGACCAAGGCCTCGATGTGGTACGCAAAGAGCGACTGAAAAATGTTAGACAGATCAAAAAGGCCACGACCACAGACGCACCTTGTCGGCCAGGACGAGGAATATGCCGAATTCATCGAGCATCGCACACTGCGTCACCATTTTGAGGTGGAGGACGCGGCGCATAGCTAATACATGATTAGGAAACGAAGGAACCCGATACGGCAAGACGTACACCTAGGGTCGTGGCGGAAACCGATCCACACACCCTCTGCACACCCAATGGCGACCAGACCACGTCCATCGGCGGTATCTGGATAAAAAATGTAAGCATATGCCTTGACTACAAGTTCAACACATACTGAATGGGACGGAGCAAGTAACCTTGCCCGTGAACGACGTGTCCTGATTCCATTGTGGCGATGTGGCGTTGAGCTGGACCGACGGCACCAAGAACGTGTCTGCGCTCAATGTCTCGACCTCGAACACCCTGTTCGACTCTTGCACAACCTTGCGGATCCCGAGCGCCTCCTCTAGCTTCTGCTTCCACTCCGTGCGCGCCTGTGCCGACTCGGAGAAGAGAATGTGCGCGCCACCCAGCCGGCCGTTGTGGTGTATGGTCCAGGGATACACGACACGCGAGTCGCCAGCACTCTCGGGTGTTGCCGAGGAGGTCGTGCCATTCTGATCGTACCGCTCTCCGCCCCGCAAATTGCGGAGCAAGCCCGCACCACGTTGTGTTGGGGGATCAGTAAAGTTCACCAATGTTAGTAGATCCAAAGGAATTGGCTATGCTCGTGTCAGTATATGTCTCACCCCCTAAACTAATAATCGTCTCACCCGTCGATTGACATGGTATTTAGTAACGCCGTCCTTCTCCTTCGGCTTGGTCATCACCACTGTCCATCCACTCAGTATTCCCTACCTTGCAAAGACACCAATATGCCCACCGTAATTATCAAACAGCACTACAAACAGCTCGCTCCACCCGCTCCATTCGAGCGACGGGATGGTATTGTCTGGCTGCCGGATGACCTTGCCCGCATGGATCAATGAACGGTTCGCGTCGAGCAGGTCCATGTCCTGTGCAAGTGAGCGTTACCTTCGGGATGGAGCAAGAGTATACGCACGATCGCCTCTCCGGGTTTGAAGACGAGGTTCGAGTTGTAGCGCCACAGCTCGACCTTTTGCTTGGCCGACACGACGCCCGGCTCGGTGTCCTTGCCAAGTGCTTTGATTACCTCGAGCACCTGCGGGATCTCCTTGCGGTCGTCGTTGTTCTGCGGGGTCTCGTCCAAAATCCCCTTGAGCAGCAGTTCGTATCGCAGCAGCCTCGGGATGGGCCGATTGATAAAGTTCTTCATGTCAAGCCGGTGCGCGTCCGGATGCCGCACGCATTGCTACACCGCATTTAATGCGAAGAACAGACAGCTGAAAAAGAATACGCACGTCCACAAAGTTCTTAAAGTCTGGGTTGTTCCCCATCTCGTCGTCGATGCGGTACGCTGCGATCGGGTAGTTGGGGATGTACTCCATATACACGTCGCGGAAGTTGAGCGCCGCGTCGAACATTGCCGCAGTCACACTCCGGATCACGGGGTGCTGCTCGCGTTGGATCTCGTGGAACTTGTCGACGAGCTTGCGGTGGTGCTCGAACAGGTCGTGGAAGTTGTGGAACACGTCGGTGATGAACTGCTCCAGCTTCTCCCGCGGCATGATCGGCGGCTCGGCGGCGCGGAGGGGCGTAATGTACATCTGAATGCGGTGAGAGAGTCAGTACGGTATGGTAGGCGCGCGGAGACGCACATTGCCAATGTTCTCCAAATCCTTTACGTACGCCATCTCGCCCTTGATCAGCTCGAATATGATGCTGAGACGCTCCATATCATTCACTTTCGCCCGCAGCAGAAAAAGACACTCACGACTGGCGTTTCTGCTCCTCTTTGGGCATCGCGGTACGCACCTCGGCCGCGACGAGGTCGTGCCACTCCCACTTGCCCGGCGCGCCCTTCCCCATGGCGTTCTGGAACGTGCGCAACTGTGCAACGCTCTGCAGGTTCTTGATCGCGCCGATGGCCTCGAGGAGGTAGTCCGCGTCCGGGTTCCCTTCCGCCGTCTCGTGGAAGATCGCGTCGAGCAGCACGGGGTATTTCTGCAGGTGCTCCGCCGGTCGGTTCAGGAAGTGCTTCAGGTCGAGCCGCATAGTGTCGCCTGGGCGGGTCGACTGGCGCGAGCAGTGCTAGATTACGGCATCGGCTCACCGTCGTAGAAAAAAAAATGGGAGGAAGCGCACCTCGAGAAACAGTCGGAATTCAGGGTTCGCGTCCATCTCCTCCTTCAAGCGTTTCTCCGCCAAAGGGTGGTTTCCGATGTATATCGGGTACGCGAGCCGGAACTCGGTCGCAGCGGAGAGGAACACGTCGCCTGTAGACCGTATCAATACCACTTTCGCGCGGCTCACATCTAGAGGACTTACCAATGCGCTGTATGACGGGGGCTTGCTCGCGCTGCCTTACATACATCACCTCGAGCAGGCGCCTATTGCACTCCCTTAGGTCGAGGATGTTGCCAAACACCTCATCGATAAAGTCCTCGAGGCGCTCGAGCGGGATAACGGGCGGGATCGCGGTCCGCAGCGGCTTGAGGAAAACTGTCTCGACGGTGTCGAGATCCTGTACGTACTGGTCCTCTTTGTTGATCAGCTTGTGGATGATCCTGTGGAAATAATATCAAGAATCGATGACAATCCAATAGAGGGACAAGCACGCACGTCTGCCGGTTGATCTCGCTGTCGGGGAGCTGCGAGAGGACCTCCTTCGGGACCGTGTGCGACCACTCTTCGCGCAGTGGTAACGAGGGGCTCTCTGCCGGGCCCGGAGGCGCCATCACAAAAGCATTGCCCTTTCGTGGACAGCCGTACGAGTAGCACTGCATCTCGTCCCCGCAGCTCGGTGAGTAGCACTTGGTGAGCATCGTGACGACGCCGGTCGGAAGCTCCTCGCGTTCTGGCGGCGCGTCGGACGCGCCTTCCGCATCGTCGAGGAACATGTACACGTCCTCGACGCCATCCTGCAGTACACGCCCACCCCACTCGACCTCGTAGAAGAAGAGCTGGCTCTGTAGGCTGCGTGCGACTTGCAACGCCGCCCGGCGGTCGCTCGTCGAGATGCCGTGGTTCACAGCGAGCTCGCGCTGGATCTGAGCTTGGATCGTGCTGACAATGTCCTTGCCGGTGAACGCGCGCGGGTATGGGATGCTGCCCTTGACATGGGTACCGCGTGGGACCTTGTCGCGCAATTGCACAGCGATGTGCGAGAGCAGTGAAAAGTTGACAAAGCGCGTCTCGTCGTCCTCATCCTCGTCCTCCCAATACTCTTGTTCAACCTCATCGTGCAGCTCGAGGGGGCCGCGCGGGGCGACACTCGCGAGATCGCGCAGCATCTCGCTGGGCCGGCGATCCACGCCGCTAGGACCCGCAGAGAGGTACTGATCTCCATCGGAACGGTACGTCTGGGCCGGCGCGCCCGTGCTG